GCTGCTGGCGTCCCCCGCACCCCCTGCGTCTCCGGTGCCCCCGCTCCGTCGGCGTCGCGAGCGCCCGTCGGAGATGAAGAACGCGTCCATGGAGTAGCTGTCGGTCACGGCTGCCTCTCCACGGAAGTAGCGTGCCGAGAGGCTTGACTGCGGGCTCTCGGGGTCGCTGTACTCCTCCGGCGCCGCCGGCGGGTACGCGGGCTCGGCTGGTGCCAGCTCCAAACCGGGCTTCTGGTCCGCATCGTAGCTGCTCTGGGGCAGGCAGTGAGGAGCGTAACCTGGAGGAGGCGAGAAGCGGGGTGAGGGGTAGTTAGGCGTCAAAGAGGACTTCCACCTCAGGACAGCCATTCCTGGCGCCTACCAGCCCTGCGTCCCTGTGGCCGCTCTTGGAAAATGTTGGCTGACTGTGAGACACTGGCCCCGGACAGCTCAGCTCTTAATATGAGGCTTCCTGAGTTCAAATCCATTCTCCGTGGGCAACAGGACTGTACGCACACCTCCGCCCCCGCACAAAACCTGCGTGGTGTGGTTGCCGGGTACCAGACACGGTTCTGCTGACATTACAGTCACTGTCTTCTTAAATACTCAAAGTCACGCAGTGAAAGAGGTATTGTTATTGTTATTCTCCTCACTTTACAGATAGGGAAACTGAGATGTAGAACGATTAAAGCAAGCAGCTTAAGCGCACATAACTGGTAATTGGTGGAGCCAGGATTCAAACCTTGGAAGTCTGACGCCAAAGCCCATGCCCTCTTTTATCTCAAGGCATTCTGCCTTTCGAGTCCTGTAACTTCTCTGAATCTTGGTTTCCTCGTCTATAAAATGGTGCTTATAATTGGACCCCTCCCCACCAGGGTCATTGAGAAGACTGGGAGAGGTGATGACAATAAACATGTATTGGGTGCTTACTGTCTACCTCGCATTGCCTCAGCACTTTCACATGTTAACTCATTCAGTCGTCACAATGGCCCTACGAATAATAATCTCCATTTTATATGTAAGGAAATTGGGAAAGAGCGAGCACATGGTAATTGCTATATAAATGGTAGCTATTATAATTATGCTTTTACTTGCTTGAAAGTGACTTCACTAAAGATTATTTAATTGTCTTCCTCCCCCATCTCAGGGCTGGATCAGTGTGCCCAGCATGAGCTTGGCTCAGTGGAGGTTCGTGATCATGCCGTGTTGTATCAACCAGCTACAATCCAGTCTCACCTCCCAGGGTTGCTGAAGGATTTAAAAAGGGTCAGTGGTGTTGGCACGCGGTGCATACTCAAGAGAGAGAACTTCTTTGTATTTGCTCCAAGGCCTGCTTTGCTCCCTGCTTCTCTGGAAACCTCCCGGGGTCTCCTTTTCCTTTTCCTCCCTCCTGGCTGGAGTTGGGTGGAACTCCAGCCTATCTTGGATTTGAGTGATTGGCGCGTGGGTAGACTGGGGGTCTCCTGGAGGATGCTTTATGAGCTTCCTGAGCACAGTGGTCCCCATGCCTCCCAACGTCCAGCCCGATCCTAGCACCCTTCCTGGGGACGCTGGGGGCTGGGCACCTGGAGTTTCTGGCAGATTTTATACAAAGTCAGCCTGATCCTTAATTACAAAGTGTTTCTGTTGCCCTTTGATTCTTGAGAACAGTAGAGGTTAGGAGCCCTTCCACGGTTTCACAGCTGGGGAGTGGCAAATGAGCGGATTTGGACCCTTCCGTCTGACCTCTGGGTGCAGTGGTTAAGCTCTCTGCTGCTAACTGAAGGGTCAGAAGGTCGGCAGTTGTAACCCTTCCACAGCTCTACCAGAGAGAGATGCAGCAGTCAGCTTCAGTAAAGATTTCAGCCTTGAAAACCCTGAGGGCAGTTCTGTGTGTCCTAGAGTTGCTGTGAGTCAGAATCCCTTCGACAGCACAGGGTTAATTTTTTTTTTTTTTCTGGTTTTTTGACCCCTGAGATCTATACCCTCCAGCCTCCCTTCCCTAGCCAGACAGGAGAGGAGTTTGGAAGCCAGGAACAAGATTCTGACTTTCAGACTTGAGTGCAGGCACTTTGCTTTTGTTCCCTCAAATTCTCTGTCCAGCCTCTAGGCCTTTGCCTCTCAGCTGGTAGCTGGGATGGCCTGCTTTGTACTATGGAGTCCTTGGATGGTGCAAATGGTTAAGTGCATGGTTACTAAATGAAAGGTTGGTGGTTTGAACCCACCCTGAGGCACCACAGAGGAAAGGCCTGGTGACCTCCTTCCAGAAGATGGCAGCCATGCAAACCCTACGGAGCACAGTTCTACCTCGCGTACAGGGTTTGGCTGTGAGTTGGGGTTGATCACAACTAAGAACAAAACTGTGTCGCAGGGTCGGATCTGTGTGCACTGTCCTCCAGCCCTGAAGGCCGGGGGTATCCTTCCTTATTTCTCCTGCTGTCCTTTCAGCTGCCCCAACAGAAGTCAGTGAGGATTGTGGGGGTTAGTGACTCGGTAGAGAGGGGATCTGTGGACAGATGCAGCGGGGCAGAGGTGGTGGGAGGTTTATAAGTTGGGGAAGTACCCAGCCTCTCAGCACTTCATTCTTCCCCTCCCATGGCCTTTGGTCTGGAGGGTTCCCCTACCTCCTACACTAGGAGCCAAGCCTGGTACTTGGACTCCAGTCATTCAGGAACTATGTTTCAGATGAAGTTAAATACATGCTGGGTACTCCCAGATCATCCTTCTTTATTTCCTCACACTGTAATGACTGATGATAATAATTAATATTTATTGAGTAGTTACTATATGTGTCAGGCACTATGCAAAGTACCTCACCCCTATCACCTCATTTAATCATCACAAAAAATAGGCGTATTAGTGCCATTTTACAGGTAAGGAAACTGAGACACAAAGTGGTGATGGAACTTGCTCAAGAAGTAGAGCCAGGATTGGATCCCATTATATTGCTTCCCTACTTACCCCTGGGGGAGGGGCTTGGCTGGGTTGTTCACCTCCTATCCCCAGTATCCAGCTCAGTCCCTGGTGGTTAGTGGACACTCAAATATTTGTATAATAAACTCACTGCCGTGGAGTTGATTGGATTCATATCAACCCCTCCTTGGGTCTCCGAGGTGGTATCTCTCTACAGAAGTAGATTGCCCAGTCTTCCTTCTGAGGAATGGCTGGGGGATTTGAACCAATGGCTTTCTGATTAGCAGTCAAATGCTTAGGTACTACATCACCAGAGCTTCCCAGACCAACCTCACTCTATAGCCCAGAAGGGTCTGCCCCAGGTCATCTTGTCTACCCAGGCTCCTGGCTAAGCCACGAAATGAGGCGGAGTGATTTGATTCCCTGACACAGATTCTAGCTGAGTGATCTTGGGCAAGTGGTGCGTTTTTCTGCTGCTTGGGTCCTTTCTCTGGAAACGGGGAGAGCATAGCAACCATTTGTAAGGGTCATTTATCATATGACCAGTGCCTTGCATGCTCTGTTGTTAGGGAAGGATTGCACATCAGTTAAGAGCACAGTTCTGGCTTTACCATTCCCAACTGTGTAACCTTGGGCAAACTACTTGACCTCTCTGTGCCTCCATTTTCCTGGCTGTGAAGTAGGGGATTATAAAAGCACGTGATTCATACAGTTGTAGTGAGTCCCTGAATAAAGACAAAGTAAGCAATAACCAGTACTTCTAGAGTACTTATGGGCCAGGTACTTTTTCACAGGCTTTTTATACGTATACATGCATTCCACCCTTACAACTCTAAGGTTGGTACCATTTTGAAGATGGGAAAACTGAGGCACAAGGAAGTTAAGTAACAGCTAGGGTCACACAGTTAGTAAGCCAGAGCTAGGATTCCAATCCAGTGCCTGGCACATTATAAACTCACAACATATGTTGGCTGTTACTAATAATAAGAAGTTCTCCAGGTGGATGCCCATGTTTCTGCTTTCTTGGAGTCCTCCCCGACACCTCTTACCATACCTCTCTGGGCCTCTTGCTTCCTTACCCAGGATATGTAATTTCCACCTCTTGTACTGATGAGAAAGCCCCTGGTACATAATAGGAGCTCAAGGAGCCAGGCAAGCCTTCATTCACACTGGGCGCTCTGCCCGTGACACACTGCAGCACTGTGTTCCTGTGGCCAGGGCTCTTTGTACAGAAACAGGGGTAACTCAAACAAACGTTGCTCATTCACCTCACCCTCTGGACCAGAATTGTGGGACGAGATCTGATGCCCAGTGGCGATGGAGTTTGGCATTGGTTCGGTGGATGTCATATGAAAGTTTGTGTGGTCATTTTATGAGGTGGTTCTAACTTGCTGTGTGACCTTGGGCAGTTGCTTAATCTCTCTGGGTTTGGTCTGTACAGGAAGGAGTTTGGCTGGAATGCTGTGAAAACCTTTTTGCATTGTGGCTTAAATTCTTCCATTATGCCCTTTGTCCTCCCAACCCTCTCCCCCAACTTCATCCCATTCTCTCCAGATCCACAGACTTCTGTCTGGCTGTATGCTGATGGGCATTACCTGACGTCTTTGTGCCACATCTTATATGGGAGCTCATAATAGGCTTCAGTGAGTTAATATATATAACGTGCTTAGTACAATGCCTGGCACCCAGTAATTGCTCATGCTGTTGTCCTTGTTATTATTATTCTTACAATCCCTGGTAATATCCTTCTGAGTGATGGCTATAAATAAAAGTGTCCCATGCTACTGTGTGACCTTGGACAAGCCACCTTACCTTTCTGGGCCTCAATCCTGGAGAACCTTTGTTGTTGTTAGTTGCTGTCCAGTTGGCCCTGACTCATTACAACCCCATGTGTTACAGAGTAGAACTGCTTCATAGGGTTTTCTTGACTGTAATCTTTTCAGAAGCAGATTGCCAGGCATTTCTTCCACAGAGCTGCTGGCTAGGTTTGAACCACCAACTTTTTGGTTAGTAAACCATTTGCACCACCCAGGAGAAGCCCCCCCCCCCGTTTTTTTTTAAACAAACCAACCAACCAGTTATTGTTGAGTTGACTTTACTCATAGTGACTCTATAGGACAGAGAGAACTGCCCCATAATATTTCCAAGGCTGTATGTAATCTTTAAGGAGCTCTGGTGGTATAGTGCTTAAGGCATTTGACTGCTAACCAGAAGGTTGGTGGTTCAGACCCACCAACCACTCCGTGGAAGGAAGACTGGGATTTACTTCCTCAGAAACCCAAAGGGGTTCGCTGTGAGTCGGAATTGACTCCATGGCAGTGAGTTTGGTTTTTGTATGTAATTTTTATAGAAGCTGACTGCCACATCTTTCTCCCATAGAGCAGTAGTTGGGTTCGAACCACCAGCC